TATTATTATCGCATGCTGTTGGGGGAGCATATATATATTATTATCGCATGCTGTTGGGGGAGCATAATATAAGTCCTTTGGGGAAACAACGACTTGGGAGGGTAATTTGATCTAACATTTTGAGATCGTCCTAATAAACACCGTATGATTATTTTTACAAAAAGAAAAAATAATTTTGAGTATTTTAACATTTTGATCATTCAAAGATTCGACGGCCTCATTAAATTTTGAGACGATTCTTTTCAAGCACATAGAGCGTCATATATGAATTTTTCTTTTTTTAGAGGTAGGTCGCAAAAAAAAAAAGTTGCATCTCAAAAATTTGAGGTCCAAAAACACCACTAGCTTAGGTTTTGCCCGGGTGAACAAAGTAGAGTGCACTTCAAATAGTGTCAATAAATGTAGTTTCAATGCTGGAAATCTTTGTGACAGCTTTAAAATATATTTTCAACTCTAATTATAAATTTTAAAGCTTAAAAAATAGTTTTAATCGAACAGATCTATGAAAACTTGAAATCTATTTTTACTCATGTCCATGCATCTTGATGTCGAGATGATCAATATGAGGATTTTTTGGCTTCAAAACAACCTCTTCTAATGAAATTTTTGATGTACGCCTTAATTTGATTGTTTAGAGCCGTGCTCTTGTATAAACTTTTTCTCTCACTTTTATATATATATATATATATATAATAATTCACATCCAAATTTTATTTCTAGATCCAAATTTTTTATCTAAATCTTAAATCCATACCCGGATTTGAGTAAGATCGAAACTTGGGTTTCAAATCCGAATTGAGCAAATTCTCAGCCCTACCCCAGCCCTAAGGTCATGGATAGGCTCGGATGACTTTGTTTTAAAGCAAAGCTACGCTCTTCAGTAGTTTCGGCATATCATCCGAAGATTTATTCTTCCTTGAGCTTATCTTTTCAATGAGATGGATTTTTGGATTTAATTTTTAAAGATATGTAATCTCTAACATGGAGATCATGTGTATGAAAAAATAAGTAAATTTTAAAAACCATAAATGATAATTATAGGAAGAAGACATTTGGACCGTTAGTTTCCGATGGAACACTTCAATTTGTTTTACTCTATTTTTTTGTTTTTTTTTACTCTAAACACTTACTTGGATCCATGTTTAAGATAGATAAACCGCATATGTAGTCATGCAGTCCAGCCGAATGAAACAAATTTCCTTGTTTTTAATACCGTTTCAAGCTGCCACTCTTTCTTTTTTGGACCTCGTTTCTATGCGGCGAAGCCCGCATATGTAGAAATGCGGGCCTTTTGATAAATCTATTTTTGAGATGGATTTTAAGACTTACTTTTTATGGACATGTAATCTCTAATATGGATATCATGAATGTAAAAAAAAAAAAATAATTAAAAATTAAAAATAATAATTCTAGTAAGAAAACGTTTAGACAGCTAGTTTCTATTGTTTTTAAATAGAATACCTACTTGCATCCATCTTTAATATGGATGTTTCAGGATCACATACATAGAAATGCGATCCAGGCATGAATAATTTCCTTTTTTTTTTTTTTTCGAAGGTTCAACTTTCAAGAGGCCATCCTGTCCATGGCGGCATTCAAATATCGACTTTTCCCATGTCCAAGCTGGAGTAGTAATTTCTGGGAGTCAATGTTCTAAACTACCTATAATTCTCTATGGGTCCATGTAGAAATGCCTTGACTCTTAAAAGTCTACTTTTGAGATGGATTTTCGGACCCAATTTTAAGGACATGGAGATCATGAATATAAAATAATAATAAATAAAAATACTGATTTCAATTGTTTTAGATGGACCACCTATTCACAACCATCTTAAAGATGGATGTTGTATATCTTGGGACGGCATATTGTAGAAATGCGGTTTAACCCGCATGAAACAATTTTTTAATTCTATTCCTTTATTTAGAACTAGGAGTTGTGATTCCTAAAAGTCTTCTTATGAATCCAATGTTTTGAAACCCGACGATTTTCGATCCGAATCATCCACCTAGATGGGAATTAGTAAGGACCTCGTTGCCTAAAATCCCCTTTATATATTTGTTTCTCTTTTTTTAAAGCTTATTGAAAATTTTCTTAGGTCTGGCTCTAATATGCCCATCCTATCTATCCTTATTTTAATTTCAATTTTATGTTATTTATTTTAATATTTTTTTGGATTACTGATTCAGACCGATCTAAACTAATTCGTCTAGCGATCCAACACTGATAAGTTGGTGTAAAACGACCATCCCAATCAAGGTTTTGAAACACTAGAAGAAGCAAACGCACCCGAAAGCCAAGAGAAAACAAAGTTCAAATTAATTAATCAACATGTCATGTGGGCA